CGGAGTGGGTGCTTGAGGAAGGGAAGGAAGTGCAAGGGGAGACTGGCATTCAAGATTTCTGAAGCACTAGTGGGAAACACCGAAAGTTCATGCCATCGGGACCAAATTTCTACAAGCGACACAGGAGGATCCGGCAGACGTCTCCCGTGTTGGCATGCGAGCTGTGTTGCAACTAAGCGCACGCTCGCTGCGTTTGCAGGATCATAGTGAACAGCGGTCACGCCAAGGCTTCGCCGCACCGTAGGATCCAGTGACTGGAAGATCTTCTTCACTTTGGCGGAATGATGAACACGGGATCATCGAAACATAGGATCGAATGACTTCTTTACGAGCGCAAAGCATGGACGCCTTGAAGAAGGACTCAAGAGAATGACGAAACATCGTTTGAACGCTTCCTCAGCGCAAGAGTGACACCGTGGCGCGGAAACAGTGCGCTCGTGTGGCATTATCAACTGATGTGCGGACTCTTCTGCTTCAAAACACAGCTGTGGGAGCGAAGTCGCTACTGTTCAAGAAGCATTATCTAGAGTTTCATTTTAACTCCGCCATCGATTGGAGCACGATAGTACTGTCGAAGAAGGAGTGTAGCAGACCGACGCTCGCTGGCTGGATGCTGACGGATATCGAGGGTCACACTTCAAGACCAATGTAGAAGAGCGTCTGTAGAATCCAGACTATCAGCATCTCCGACTGTCGAACGTTCACCGCCACTGGTCGGAGAGTGGCAAGCATCTTGATCAGGTCGTGAGATTGGAACAGTGTGCCATCCAAGCGCTCTGGATCGCCCTCACGCTCGGCTCACAGAGGCTCGTGTTAGCCGGTCAGATGGCAATTGCAGGGCGACTTGGGTGGAAAGTCGGAACAACACGTTCTCCAGAGATTCAAATTGTTCGCATGTTCAGCGTCTGATCGCCAAGTTGCCTGCGTTCAGAAATCTGGACGCTCAATACCGGCGGTTATCGAGGATCAGCGTCTGGTTTAAGCAAGTCTGCATATAAATAGCCCTGTCTGCTACAGATGAGTTTGCCACAATCAACCCATTTATGGTCCCCATCGTGGTCGTGACGCTGTACGTGACTCATTCCGTTACTATGTCGAGAGATGTATGCGTGAATCCCAGAACTGCCTTTAGTGATACGCAGTAATCATTTCCAAACCCAATAAGCATGGTGTCGATCACAGAATTGCGCTGCGGTTCACAAGCTTGTGAAGAGAAGACCGTTAGATAGCATCCCGGGTCCGGCAGAATCAATACAAGTTTTTCTTCTACCTCTGGACTCGATTTTAGGTGCTTCATCACTACATCTTCGACTTTACCTTTCAAGTGGAGCCACTAGAGATGACGGCCGTGCGAGATCCGCCGTCTCGTGGACAATCGTCTGATTGCGTTACTCGGGTGTACACAAGAGATCCAAGCTTCCTCCGTGTCGTCGGACACGAACTCAAATGCTCCTCCTTTGTTTACCTATTCAAAAGTGCTGCCCAAGTGGAGGCGCTGACTCCAGAGGCTTCAACAAATCCGCACCTGGGAGGGACCGTCCGCTGGTGTCGCCAAGGTGTATCCAGAAGCTACGAGCTGTTCCAGAGTCGTTCACTTTCATCTCGAGGACCCCTCCCTCATCTCGAAACGCCACTTGTAAGAGGAATAGGTTGGAGATTAGAGTCGTGTGATAGCCACCGTCTTGCGATAGGCGCTCCGATGGCACAGCTCGTATCAATACGGACCATCTGAGGCCTGTCTCTAATGTTGGATTTGGTTATGGAAGCTCCCGGATGTACTCCACCGTCCGGAAAACCCTCTACAATAGATACTGATACGATGTCGCGTGAGCTCTGGCTCGTTTACTCTCGACGAAAGCGAAGCTAGCTCCAGTGCTTTAGTGATAATGATTACATTAGAGATCTGAGACATTTTTCAGCCCTCCCAAAGGTTAGTCATGTCGCTAGGAGTGTGGCACATGTATCGGCCTGCTAAAGGCTCAACCTGAACGAACCAACTCCGTGAGATCAAGCACAACGGCAGAAATCCGAGAAACCTACCGTGTCCATGTCGAGACATTGTGCGTGGTGTCCTGGAACAGCCTTTGGACGAACTCCGCAACAGCTATAGCGAGATCCATGATCACGATGCCGAGTTCTGAACAGAGGAACTTGTCTGTATGACAGTAGAAAAGCCAGTTGAGTTGTTGGACCAGCAAGATCCGCCCACTTTTCACGCTTCCGGAGGTTGGACAGGTCGTGATGGAATGCGGCACATATGTCGGCCTGCGAAAAGCTCAGCCTGGAAGAACCAATTTCGTTTACGTAGGATCAGCCAGCGGGATTTCGTATGAGTTTCCACTATAGCTTCCTACCAGTCATCATCAAGACTCGGAATATCGCGAGAAAGATCCGCAAATAGGGAGTGAAATATTCCTTATCCACCGATTAATATTCTTCTTAGACGCACATTTTCCACGGTCTTATCGACAAGAAGCACGCTGGAAGGGAGCCTTTCTTCCGTGAGGCTGGTGTATACCAGCTAGAGAGCGGCGATGTCAAGGCGCTGACTGTGATGCGTGTTGCGTCTATACTTCATGAGAGTATGTTGCTCTCATTCTTCCAAGGTTGGTGTCCTGCTCTGGACGAGATCCGCAACACGCTCCTGAGTTAGGTCCTGATACGGCCAGAAGATGGGCTGGGCTGGCTTGATCCATAGCATACCACTCAATGAGCAACGGCCGATATTGCTGCAGCGGGTCTTTGTGGATCCCGAGCTTTTAAAGGCCTGCATTCGAAGCTGCGTTTGAAAGCGCAACGCTGCCTTGACGAACAGGGACAAGAAAGAACATGCCAAGTGGATGAAAGCTGTGCCAGTCACGACGGATTGCAGGGACGCGTAAAGACGAGCGATGTGAAGGACTTCGCAAGACTTGATTGAGCGTATAGTAACGGCAGCATGGCTCCGCGACTCCGCAAAAGCGCTTGAATAGTACTTTAAAACAATTAGACGCCAGTATCCGCGTTCGTTACACAGCGCGCTCGGGCAAGAGATACGAGGTTCATTCTAGAGACCAAGACCGAAAGCTCAGTAGCGGAGTTGAATACGCTCTAAGACAAGTTAAGCACGGAAATGAATAGTCGGTTAGCAGCTTAGAGTTAGAGGGCTAAGCCCAGAGCAGTAGAACGGCAGCGGCAGTGGAGAAGGATGACAGAGATGAGGCGCCATCTAGAAAAGGTCGTACTCGGCATATAGATATGCACCGGGCTTCTGCTTGGTCTATAGATTTGGACAGCCCGTAGCCTAGAATCCGTGTCTCTAGGTCTTCAGCCTCAGAGTGCGGAGCCCGAGAGCCGTTGATCTCTAGCATGGCTTATATGATATTGTTACGTCCGACACTCCGGGGTGGCTCTTTAGAGTATACATGTGATGATCTGCTATCCAAGGAGAGCAGAGTCGCTCTTATTAAGCAATTCAATGTCCAGTTACAGATGCTAGAGATCGGAGGCGGAGCGCTCGAGGGAAAAGTGAATATCGCTGGATGTGTATCACAAGTTGGCAGTAGGCTCCAACGGTACCGATTCGCAGGTCATTAATAACGAGGATATAGGCTGACTTGTGTTCGACTTCTTGCTGGCTTCGATGTGGGCACTTCGCCGAGAGAAATTGTTACAGCGACGGACCGTCACGTGCTCAGATCTGCTGCTACCTGAGATAGCTCACCAATGCAATAATTCATAAGTTGAACATTCGATATTTGACGTCATTCTGTAAACCAGAAAATGTGCGCCGTTAGTGTAGGTGAGTTGATCGACGAACCATCCAGCCCTTGTCAGCCGAGGATTTAGCTTATCACGTGACGCAGCGGTTATCATCCTAGCCTTCCATGATCTAGCACTCTAGATGAGTTAGCTAGGGACTCGGGTTCGACTCCCGAACGGCGCAATAGCTTTTGCCTCAGATCCGTTCATTTTTGATCATGTTGAAGGCTTCTCCATGAATGGAGTTGCCCAGAAGCACAGTTCGTAGTTGGACAGAGTCGCCTTCCATTTTCGGGCTCGAGATTTGCACCACAATCGCAGGGGCTAGTCCGGGGTGGCTCAGAAAGCGTTACGGCGCGACCGGTCTGAACGAACCTCCAACAGCGACAATTGCAGAAGTAAGTTCGACGACGCAGTTGCAGAGTGTCGAAGCCTGTTCAAGGCTGTCTGTGAGGTTGTGCGGAACGTTGTGTCTGGGCAACGGTGTTTTGGAACTGGCCCGGGGTCTCGCGCGGTCGAACACGGTGTTCCGCAACGATGGCTGTATGCTTGCTCCGTTACTTCAACATGTGCCAGACCGAAAGCTCAAGCAATGTTTGAGTGTGTTTACGATCACAAACACTTGATCCGGGCTTGCGGAGTGCGCTTGCACATGTCGTATTGTGGCTTTATCCGGTGCTTGTCCGTAGTTACGGTCACTGCGCGCTCGCTCATTACGAAACCAACGACTCGTATATGGAAGACTAGCTTTGCGAACCAGCATGATCTATACGTCGAATCTGATACGGTTCGGTCTATATCATGTATCTAAAAGTTATGGCCCGGTCGCCTAACGCACACTCATGTCGTCCGGCGTGTACCAATTATAGACGCCCTCGGCCATCTGCTTGTCGCGTTTCCTATTGATACGTCGATAGTTCAGTACCTGCAAGATTAATGCGATGAGGCCGGCTCGATGAAACCGGGTTCCAGGGCGTGGCCGAGTATATACTGTGAACCGCCCTGCTGCCGATAGAAGTTCGACGCCATAGCGTCCGGATATCAGCCATCCGACGTAGACTGTAGTGATTGCGTACAGCTTACTGCCCGCAAGGTTGCCAGTCCCGACCTGGATGGCGAGGCCGGCAGCTCTCTTCTAACTACTTGCCAGATTGTTGCTCGACCAGCAAATAATGCCGAGGACGCCGGATATAGCGCGCAAGCTGCGATGATAACGCCTGCGTAGGTAAGGCCGGCTATACCGGAGGAGATGCACCTGTGTCTGATTAGCTTTCGACTTTCGCTGGTTCACCAGGCCACCTACATAATGTAGCCTACGCCAATAGAGGTAAGACCGATGTCGATAAAGGGAGTTCGCTTGCCTACTCCATCCGAGAAGTAGGCAGTACCTACCGCCAAGACGGACGCAGTAACATGGATAGGTACCGTTAAAGGCTGCGCGATGCTGGATGTATAGCCGAGGTCATGGATAATAGTAGGAAGGAACAGGCTGATATCGTATAGCGGGCAAATCACACCCCAGTGAATCCATACATTCAGCGAAATGTGCTAGTCGCGGAACGCGTCTCATACGTATTTCAGTTGGAATTCTTTCTCTTGGGCCACCATCATCTCACCCTCCTTCTGGCCCTGGTACTTCAGTCTCCAGACCACAAACGCCCTCTCTTCGGCTGTGAGAAAGTCCGCGGCCTCCGGGAAGTCGTATAGCGTGAAGAACGCTGCAATAGTGACGAGCACAGTAGCGATGCCCTCGAGTACAAAGATCCAATGCCATCGAGCGTAATTACCAACCCCATCCCTAAAGGAAATACTGTACGCAAGGAGTCCGCTGAAAGCCCCGGCGATACTCGCGGCAGAGAAAAACAAGGCTTACCTCAATTAAGCCTCACACCTACAGTACCACATGGTAGTGTAATACGCAACACCACGATACAGTCCGGCTTCAGCCAAGCCTAGGAAGAAGCGCGCTGTAAGTAGGCTGCTGTAGTTCTTGACGGTACCCATAAGGGTCATGACTACGCCCCACGCAACCATGATCATGCGCAGCCATATACTAGGCCGAGGTTTCTTTAATAGCAGGTTCGACGGTACTCCAAACAAAGAGTAGCTGAAGAAGAAAATGGTCAAGGTCCAGTTATACTGCGGGCCCGTCAGGTGGAGACCCCCCCGTAAGCCTTCGATCTTCGCGTTACCGATGTTTCCGCGGTCCAGAAATGCGAGCAGGTACAAGAGTGCTAGCATAGATAGCAGCCTCAAGTCCATCTTACGCAGTATGCGCTTTTCGTCGAGGTGTGCGAAAGAGGCGGCTGTGACAGCTGGAGAAGTAGCCAGCACAATTTTCTTGTGAATTTGCTAGCTCTTGAAGATAGGAGAGTGCTTTTCGAAGAAAGTCGTGCTCGCCTCCTCTACAGATTCAGGCAGGTCCCTAGCGCGAGAATGCATCGTGCACTGTGAGTGCGTCTAGCGTCAGCTCAATGCGGCTCGTTCAAGGATTGGCGAAGAGTGCGTGTATAATGTGTTGAAGCGGAAGCAGGCGTTAACATCCTCTTCTCGAGACGCGCGTTCGGTTCAGGAAGACCGTCTCTTCTCTTTGAGATTAAGATGGGAGCAGACTGCTGCTTATCACGACTTGATCGAGGAAGTGCAGGCGGGTCTACGTGGCACTTCGCTGTCCTCGACAATGATTTAGACAGATTTTGACCTGGTTCTACAGCTTGCTGTGGATAAGTGTGAACGAGGTATTTGAGCTCATTGTCCGTGGTTGCTGAGCGAATCGCCGTCGTACTTCAGCATGTGGACTCGCGCATAGCTTGAAATTTCGCAAACTCTTCGACATCCGCTTGGGTCCACTGCGTGGCTGCTCATCTATTGCAAACCGAGCTGATCACAGTTTGGTATACTGTCCACTTCAAAGGTGATGCCAAGCCATTGAGATTGATATCGAACCGAACAACCCAGAAAACGAACGAGGTCAAATCCGGCTCAGTGAGCGGACTGTTAGCTACATGTGAATGCAAGAGGGTATGGTGTACAGCTTCCGTGCCGCATTGTCAGTCTCCATGCACACAACACAAGGAAGCAAAATGGTAATGGCGGTGATGGATAAGTTTCGTCGTGATAGCATCAGTTTGCTGCACTTGATCGAGCTGACTTTGATCGGTCGCATGCAGCACCACTTGGTCTACGTCAACAACGTGACTGTTGAGCGGCAGTAAATGTATATTAGTCAGAGATGGACTGAGCCAAATAGGAACGGATCACATCTGTGTCTACGAGATGCCAGACAGGAGCAGAAGGAAAACGGTGATGCCGTAAACCTCCACAAGCTTGTCAAGATGCAAAGCGTGCAAACAGCCACGTGCATCAGATGACACCACGTGTATTAGCGTTAGCGCACAAGCTATCGAAAAGTCCGACGACGCCCTCCCGCCGACGGCTTCATGTCAGACTCGATATAGCCTTTCTCGCGCCAAATTATGCACTTACGCACTCAAGCTCTCCAAGCCGCCGCGCCCCCAACTCAGCCCTCATGACCAGTCGAATTGGGTCACGCCTTGTTTGCGAGCAGCCTTGCCCACC